GGTGCCAAGCTGGACGGTCTGCACGAAAGAATGAAGCTGCATCTCACAGATCTATTGCGACCTGCTTTATCCCAAGACGCTGGAGTCGATGGAGTTGGAGCTTTCAAGGATGGCAGCGAGCAATTCGTCAGTGGTGACTTTGCTGAGGACCTTGGCGAAGACTTCTTTGGTTTCCGGGCTCTGGGTCTGGACAAGGAGATGGGACTTGATATGATCTCTGTGCCCTTGCATCTTCTGCAAACCCGAGTCCGCAATATTCATCAGATGCAGACGCAGACAACTGGTGAAGCAGCCACTGATCTTTTCGAGCCCCTGTCAGTTTCGGATCCAGTTACCAAGGAGAACATACAGGAGCAAGTTGGCCTGGTCAAGAACTTCTTCCTGGCTAAGCTGCACGCTAATGGCGATCAGCCCCTTGTGGAGGACGAAGACCTACCTACGAAGCAAAAGAAGCCTCGTCCTCGCTTGGGGGCCAGCGGAAAAATTGTTACCGCTCAGAAGCGTTCTCCTAAGGAGCAGTTGGCTCTTGCAAAGAAGAAAAAGAAGATGGACGCTGCTGCTGCTGAGGCCAGAGCAAACGCGAACGCATCACCAGAAAAGGGGGCCAATGCTCCACCAAACAAGAAGAAGTCCATGACCAGCACGACTGGTCCAGTACCCAATCCTGCAATTATCGCTCTGGCTCCTAGCATGGAACGGCGAGACAGCATGCAAAGCCAGGGCAACGCTAGTCAAACCGACAAGGACGACACCATTGGCATGATGAGCCCAGAAAGCATTGCTCAGTAGGCCAAGCAACGTTTCTGGTAGTGTCGTTATATACGAGTTTGGTGGACAGCCATTGCCCCTATCCCATCACTTGAACAAGCATACACTTGAGTCGACACCCGGTTTCCCTCAATGCGATTCCTGGAACGACGGAAAACTCTCAGGAAACCCCAAGCCGTATCTTGGGAACTTTCATATTCATATAAATCGTGTATTACTCTTTTTTTTTTCTCTTATATTTATACTCGAAGTCCTTTCGTCTTTCTCATACCCCCACGAACTATTTGCAATGGCCGCAGCAGATGGTCTTTGGTTTCAGTTTTGTTTTTCCTGCCCTTCTTCTACTTTGCATATGAGGAATTGCTCAATAAACCATCTATTCACGGCGTTCCTGGCTCATCCTTCTTCCTCATCTTGGAGCTTTGGGTTGCTACCGCATTTGCATGCACGATACACAACATTACTCGACTTCACCAGTATCCAACTCGGTGTGACATACGAGCGGACTTCTTCATCGTGGTTTGGACAAATCAAAAGCAAACAGGCATGCGGGTGGAATGGCTCTCTCAATGATTAGCCGGCGTACGGGAGGGCTCTCACGGGATTGATAATATGAATGGAGGTACAATCAGTTGATGGGTTAAAAGCTTGTCTCTCCAACTATTGGGGCGGATCCTGGAAGGCTGTTGTGCCTCGTATATAGGGATTGACTTGTCGTTATCATTTTTCTTATTTTCTTTAGACGCGATGTGATGGATGAATGGGAAGACGAACCGTGATGGATGAGATGGCCGGTGCTTGGATTGTTGAGGTAGGAATGGAACCGACGATTGGGAAGCAATAAAACGGAAATGGTCGATTGTTGGGCAATTCAAGTTTCAATGCGGAGGTCCGGAGCATGGGCGAATGTGCTTACTATCAGAACCTGTAGGCAACGTAATAAGCTTTGAACAATAATCCATGGTTTCGAACATTGATCGAAATACGTGACAAAACTGCAGAGGCAAGGAACGAAGTCGTTTCAGACATTTAACCAATGGTTGTATTTTAACTGTCTGCTACCCCCTAACGGAGTGCTGTTTCTGGCTTGTCTCGACACCATACTACATAGATGTGATATCGAAAAGGCCAGAGAGAAGATCAAATGATCTTCTAGATATCATAAAGTAACCCACCCAACTCCCACACCATCTTTTTCCAGCGGATCCATTTTGTTGAAGGATGCTCACACATATCCCGATCTGAAGTAAAATTCCTTTCCCAAAACTAAAAAAAAAAAACTAGGTATTTGCGCCGTGATGAAATGCATGCTTGTTGAACGTTTCGCCATTTGCCTCATCCATGTTAAATGCGTCTCCATGCTAAGGCATCACATCATGTTGAGAGATGGATAACCTATGAAAGAGCAGTAGAATCTAGTGCCGAGCATCTTAGATGCTGGCGTCCAGGCGCCAACCCTCAACGGGGAGGGGGAAGGCGCTGCACCAAGAAGCAATCTCCTTTCGGAAATCGTTGATCTTCTGGACCTCACCGCTGGCAACGCGGGCCTTGAAGTCCTTGAGCTTGTTTGCTTCCTTGGGGAGGGCAGCCTGCTCCTCCTTGCAGATCTTGATGGCCTCGTCGATGAACTTGCCGACGCGCTCGAACTCCTTCTCGCCGAAACCACGAGAAGTCATGGCGGGGGTACCGATACGGATACCGCAAGGAGTAAGGGCAGACTTGTCACCGGGGATGGAGTTCTTGTTGCAAGCAATGTTGATCTGCTCGAGAACGGCTTCAACGCGGGCACCGTCAAGGTTGTGCTGGCGGAGGTCAATGAGGACCATGTGGCTGTCAGTTCCGTCAGAGACGAGCTTGTGGCCGAGAGCCTTGAAGGTGTTCTCCAGAGTCTTGGCGTTGGAGACAACCTTCTCCTGGTAGGCCTTGAAGTCGGGGCTGGCAGCCTGCTTCAGGGCAACAGCCAGGGCAGTGATGGTGTGGTTGTGAGGACCACCCTGGTGACCAGGGAAAACGGAGAAGTTGATGGGGTTCTCAAGGTCGTAAAGAGTCTCCTTGCCAGTCTTGGCATCGACGGAGCGGACACCCTTGCGGAAGAAGATCATGGCACCACGGGGACCACGGAGGGACTTGTGGGTGGTGGTGGTAACGATATCGGCGTACTTGAAGGGGGTGGGGATGACCTCAGCGGCGATAAGACCAGAGATGTGGGCCATATCGACAACGAGGTAAGCACCGACGGAGTCGGCGATCTTGCGCATGCGCTCGTAGTCGATGAGACGGCAGTAGGCAGAGGTACCGGCGACCAGGACCTTGGGGCGGTAGAGGATAGCGTTCTTCTGGAGGGTGTCGTAGTCAATGATACCGGTGTCAAGGTCGACACGGTAGGGCATGGTCTCGAAGTAAGTAGAGACAGCAGAGATCCTGTTGTCAATTGTTAGCATACTGTGCATTTGAGATCATGACTGAACTTGGCTCTGCAAACTCACTTCCTGGCGGGGGTCTGGTAACCGTGGCTAAGATGGCCACCGTGGGGGAGGTCAAGACCCATGAGACGACCGTGAGGAGGCATGATAGCCTGGTAGACCTGGAGGTTGGCGGGAGATCCAGAAAGGCACTGGACGTTGACACCCCACTTCTCAGAGTCGAGGTGGAAGGCCTCGAGGGCACGACGCTGGCAGAGAAGCTCGATCTGGTCGATGTGCTGGTTGCCACCATAGTAACGAGCACCGGGGTAACCCTCAGAGTACTTGTTGGACATGGGAGAACCAAGGGCATCGAAGACGGCACGGGAGGTGATGTTCTCGGAGGCGATGAGGACGATGGACTCGCGCTGGCGCTGGATCTCATCCTTCTGTAATGGGTGTAAGTGACTGCCAGAGGTTCAAGGCTCCCGACTGAGCATAACGTACCATGATGGAGGCAACCTCGGGGTCGGAGTCGAGGAGAGACTTCTCGAGCATCTGGAAAAAATGTGAGTCAATTGATCTATCAATGCCCTCGAGGGGCGATAACAGGGGAGAGCTTACCTCCTTGTGCGACTCGGAGAGCGCATACTCGGCGTTTGTGGGAGACATTGTGAAGTTTGGTTGGATGTAGATGTGAAAAGAAACAGGTGATATGTTCCTTTAGAAGTGGATGAGTGAGTGAGGAGGAAGAGGGAAAGGGAAAAGCATGTGGGAGGGAACGGATAGAAGTAGGTAATAAGTAGTAGCTGGGCTGACTGTCAAGGTCCCTCTTTGCTGGAGTGATCAACCAAAGAAAATTTTGCCTTTCTGTTGCTGTACGGGTTCCGAAGACGGCCACCAAAAGGTACAAGGGAGGAGCTAAGGTAGCGGCTGCGGCAAAAAAGCTCACCTGTGCCGAGAACAAACCTTAGCCTGAGCCTCAAAGGGTGAATGAGGGTGAGTTGGCGGGGTCAAGGTTGCGATTTTTGGAGGTGCGGGGTACTGTCATTGGTGGTTCTGTAATAACGTGCTAAAACTCTATGAGTCTAGGTACCCATTCTTTCGTGGATCCATGCTCGTCATTGGCCTCCATCTCCACTTGCTTGTTGATTGAGCTTGGACAGTGTGGTGCTACCCTGAAGACCGATTCATGGAACATGATCTTGTTCTTTTTTTGCCTCTCTAGATTTTATCATGACTCTTGAACCTTTGAATCTAATTGATCTAAACTCGATCGTGTGGCCAATGTTTCTAATTGTATGAATCGTAGATCATGCTGGGTCAATTGACTAGAGATGTCCAATGGTGAGTTACAGAAATACCTTAGTACATTGCATCCCAGGATTGCTTCCTTGTAAGTGGCCCAGTGACTCAACAACCACTCTGCATCATTCCCCTGCACCACCCGAATCACCTCCATCATCAATCAACCCAACATCCAAACATGGCCTCTATGAATTCCGAAATACGTGAAATACCGAAATACGACAAAACTCCGTCTACACATTGACGAATTCCCCCGGTGTTTTGCTGATGCTCGCGGCGAGATCTCCCGCAAAAACCGATCACGTTTCTCCAACTTCAACACGAAGTGGCCAACGTTGAGAGACAACGTTTAAACATGAAGAAATAGAGTTCCAAGACCTCTAGTCTCAATATACTCGGATAATAATAACACATCGATCTTCAGCTGTTTCATTGCCCCCGATTCGCCAAGAGAAATCTCTTTTTGTACATTGTTAGATTCGCCCTCCGCCATCGAATTGGGCTACTAGCTCACGTAGCGATGTCGGTGTGGCTCAGTTGGTTAGAGCGTTGGTCTCATATTACATCTGCTTTCAGATTGACATGACTTGATTAAACATCAGGGTTATCCAAAGGTCGAGAGTTCGAGCCTCTCCACCGACATTCCCTTTTGCTGCTCTTCCAGATTTGTTGATGGCGATCATGTTTTTTATGTGGTGATATCCTCCGAAGTCCCACTCAAGAAAACCGTGGAGAATGTTGCCACAGTCGATAGTTCAAGGTTTACCACATAGCCGACAGGGACTAAAAGAAGACCAGACGAAAATACTAATGATTCCTTGAATTTAATATGCACTAAAACTGGTCGAATGTTTTTATCAATTGCTAAATCAGTACCAGTTTTGTAGCCGGCTGGCTCATTCCTATTCAATCAAAGTACTTAGTTAGCTGAAATCTTGTGACATTGTTTTGTCTCAGTAGATACGCTCCTCCTTTTTGAGTAAATTGATAATTATGGAATTATGGAATTGGAGGCGAGGCTTTGTTGTCTTCATAATTTAACCCTATGTCGAGTAGACTGCAGTTGCAAAGCACTCTGTTAGCCAGATTTGAATTGCATTCTTGTTAGGTCCCAAATTGATGCCGCCTGCTACCAAGTAATCAGGCTTGTCCTGACATCGACTGGTCGGTGTGGCTCAGTTGGTTAGAGCGTTGGTCTCATATAGTTCGATTGTTTCGACAAAGTATGACTTGGTTAGAAACCAGGGTAATCCAAAGGTCGAGAGTTCGAGCCTCTCCACCGACATTGTCTTTTTGCAGCTTGCCATGCTTGTCTTTTTTATCCTTTCTCCAGGAAGGCTCCAAGAGTTATAATGGACGACTTCTCATATCAGTAAAGTTGAAGGCGGCCTTGGTGATCCTTGAGTAACACATTTTGGTCTTGGAAGCGCAAGGCTCCTCTTTTGAGAGTAAGCAGTTGAGGGACATGAAAGTGATGGTTAACAACTACAACTCCCTTTTATATCATCGAGTCAGTATAACAGTTTTCAACGAGATGCTTGATACAGTAGAGAGTTGCCCGAGCGTAGCTTCATCCATGGCTTACTACTCGGACTGTGACCACCGTTAGAATGTGCACATATCATGGCCCTGTATAAACCAAGTCTTATTGATATGAGCACAGAAGAATACTTGAAATGTTGTAGTACAGAATGGCCATTCAAGGTCAACATTCTACTCGAGACAATAGCCGTTAAAAGTCAGAACACGCAACTTAGTGGTAAAGTGTAGCAAAGCCCAGGTCAGTTACTAGCTATGAGAAGTTCAATGTTGCTTGTTTTTGACTGGGGACATAATTCACTGTACCATCACCTGAGTATCCGACGATGACCAAGGTACTAGAATCTCACGAAAACCAAGTGCCAACAAAAACCTCTTAATATACGACTTCGATAGTACAGTTCAGGATTGGTCATAAAGTCATGGGCGCCAATCAACGCTCATCAACAAGGCTACTTACCATATTCACAACAGAGAAACTCACAATTAGATCGAATGCCAGCATCTCAGCCAGTAGACGGGTCGACGGCCACGTTTCACCACACCACGCCTGATCCCCCTCTCCAGTCTCAGAATAATCGCAACTGTTTGTTCCACAACTGTGGGCCACGACACCAAGTCAACATGACTGTGGCCAGGCGGCTTTGCTTGCAGGTGAGACAAAGGGACGGTATGCGCTCCTCACTTGGTGTATGTGCAACGGAGCAAGGCAAGGGAGTCTGGCCTTCCCTGGTGTGGTGCTGTGCTGTACTGTGCGGCTGCTTTGGAGCAAGCCGACCAGGGAGTTCTTTCATCCTGACTCGAGGGATGATCAAGTAACAATTGATTGTGGCGCGTGATATTTATGTAGGACTTGGTATTCGTGGTCGGAATGTGATTAACACTTGATGCCACAGCACTTGGCGATATGAGACCCTACTAATCCAGGACGGGATGATAACAGACTTGTTCCAGGGACTGACTGTCACTGTCTCAAGCGGGCGGTGGCCCGGCATAGCAAGCGATTTGACTGCGCTAAACTGAAACCTTGTCGAATATCATTCTAGAAGAATTGAGTCTTGGGGGATTGGCATGACTAACAAGCGTTGTTGCCCTTCAGTTAAGTTTCTCTTGGCTCTGCTAAACTTGTTTAACCAAGTATGTAACAACAAGGAGGAAAGTTCAGGTATATATTGCCATTTATTAGTGGAAGCAACTATATGTTAGTTTCAGATATAGGTAGGCTACTATACGAACGTAAGTGATATGCCTATAGGCAGCATGCGTTCGTTGCAGCGGTGGTCACATGACTCTGCGTGCCTACATTGAACCTCAAGGGTTAAAGAGAGATTATGTTCTCCAGTGCTAGTGCTCCCTAACGTCCACTCTACCTAATTAGGAGGTACGTACAGAGAGTATCGACGACAGAAACGACCCTCATCGCGTTGTGGGCCGGTACTTGGCTTGTGGAATTGATTCCCTATTTCCATCGGGTCGTCAGTTTTGCGTTGGCCGCAGCGGACCCCTTATCCTTGGAGAGTTCTGGAGCCGAGTCGGTAATAAACGGATCTAGGACCACTTGGCCTTGATCTGTCCACGTAATCGAGTCGGAGGGAGCTTCGGCACCAACAGAGATTCAATAGCACTCGAGTCCTCCTGTGCAGAGTACCGGAGTTTATAATAAGTAACACAAAATGTATGGGATTGGAGGTTGGGGGCCCGACCAGCGGGACCAGGGCTAATAGAGGCTTGGTCCGAGAAAAGCAGCTGGCGCAATCTGTGGGTGGAGAGATGATACTGTAGATAGATCCTAGGCGACCCGTCTTGGAATATTAAACGGTCTCCTCTGCTTTCCCTGCAGTTCACCCCCGTGTCCTGCAGGGCTCAAGCAGACTAACGAGCAGCTACGTAAATGCAGCAATAAGGTAAATTTTGGGGTCATGACCATGAAGCAGACTATACTACAAATGATGTCAACTAATCGATCATAATTTGAAACGTTGGCTTGGCTTCTGTTAAAGATACGATATTTGTTTTTCCCCTTCCTTCCTCCAAGAATCTCTATGTATTCTTCAGCTCAGTTGCCAATACAAAGGTCCACATCACAACCAGTCTTGGCAATATTCCTGGTTAACGAGTGGCCTGCGGAGGTTCGGGCCGGAGCGACTTAACTCCCTCTCACTTGACGCGAGATATTTATTTATGTCATGGTAAATGATTGATACGAACTGGTGACGGGATATCTGCAGAACTCTGGGTGTCAAACCTGACACATGCCAAGATTGTGCAACTCGTAGTAGCCCTCCTGCTAGGGATTGGACTCACAAAATACGACGCGCAGCCAACAAAGCGGAAAAAGAAAAAGGATAAGAAAAAAGCAAAGTGTAGCAGACTATAGTCTGCATTGATGAGCGTTTGTGATGGTGTCGTGCGCGCGGCACAGTGCAGGCAGGGTTGGTCTGGAGCTGTTCCAAGTCAATAACATTACGGGGGTGTGAAGAGAGCTGGAGGCTGTACATACATACTCTACCCTGTACATGTCTGTCTGTACATTGGTAGGTACTGTAGATCCCTCATAGACAGGCAGTCTTCATCTGGGAAGCCCAGGAGATCGCGATGGCATGCGAAAAGCGCTTGTGTCACTATCACTGTCACGGTAGCTGTACTACCTTCAGAGAACGGCAGTAGAAGCTGGGTCTTGCTGCAGGGTGTGTGCTTAATTGAACGAGTCTGCACGTAGCCTTGTTTGGGAAGATGCAGTTCAATACTGGATACTGTGCTATATACTTACCGTACTTGAGTGGCCCTCGAGTCTGATATTTCTGACAACCTCGACTATTTACGTATGGACACAGTAGCAAGCAGTTGGGCATTTTTTACCATCTGCCTACTAATATTACAGATAGAGATACTTGACCATCACAGCACCTCTTATGTGTCGTGTTACGCAGCTTTCAGCACGATATGTTCCCATGCAGTATGGGATCTGGTTTGTTTGGATATATACCGTATGTACGTGGTAGTAATCGGCATGTAGTTACACTGCATAAAGAAAAGTGTTTGTGGAATGAGGTTGTGCGAAAACCACGATAGCGACATTTACATGGTGCTGCGCGAGCTAGGGTACCCTTGAGATCGTGTATTATACATCAGACAACCCATCATCCACCTGAAATAGCCATCAGTTCTTATTGTTTCGGCTTCTGGTGGTAGTAATAGCGACGTTGTCGAATTCGCTAGTTGACCTGGGTCAAGTTAAGCTTCAGGGTATATAGCACTGTTAGTTGGAGACACACAACCGTTTGGCCACAATCGCTAGGTATTCAATGTACGTTGTGCTTGATTAAACCTTTCTCTTAATCCTGTCTATAGTCTTCTGCATTGTGTAATAGTACAAGATTGAGCGATATCAACAGTCCACTGTCAAATACCATATGCAAGTGATAGATCTATGCCATATCATTGAGGCTGTCTAAGAATTGTTGCCTCTTTTCATGAACGTTATCGTTAGCCTTGGTGTAAAATAAACTCTTAATTACAGTGTCTGCCCACCTTACGACATCCAAGCCACAGACAAAAGCCTCAATTCTAACTGCCAGACTCGTCGAATCTTAGTAGTGAGCTCCAGTTGAGATCTGCAAGAATGAGTACCAAGGTACGTACAGTTGTGAATGTCTTACCTAACCGTTCCTCCCAACCCCTGCTTTTCCAATTCCATTTCCCCCAGGCAGGCGAGGAGGAGGGCTAGGAGGGAAAAAAACAACACTACAGGCCAACCGACGCACCATCCATCATCATCATCTTCTTGTCCCCATTGTTTCTCCACTGCACAGCTTCTGGCTTCTGCTTCTTCAACCCCCCGGCCAGATTACAAGACACACGCCCCCCTTGGTCTTTCTTTTCCCCCGGGGAGCTGTCTCTCACCCCTTACTGTTAGGATGTCCCACCTTTTCTTGTCATCTCCCGTCCCCCATCTGCATCGTCACGCCCAGCCCAAGCTCAGACAGCCCCAGCTTATTTGGACTAGAGACGAGCCCTGTCCTGGTCTATGTGCAGACCAGAGACAGGGACCCATCTTTGATCCTATCGCTTGAATTGCTTTCCTACCCGTGGATACCCAGATACCCTGGGTTCATTTTGCCAATAAACGAGCCTCACCTAACTATCCCGCTCTAGGCCTCCTTGCTACCTTCTCTTTTCTGCTGGTCACTAGATCGTCCATCCCACAATATGGGACCATGTTATTTTGAACTGTTGTTATCATTTGTGGTTGGCCGTTGCAAGCTCATTCATTCTTACGAAGTGACCAATATGGGGGTTTAAAACGCTTCTCTAGTCTAATAACCATTCATTCTTACATATACCTTTGTAATCTCATCTCGTACTCTACTGTAAATAAACTTGTGTGTGTTCCAACAAGGCTTCTCGGATGCATCCCCAGACCGCCCACCAAAGACCAACAAGCGCGCTGCAGTGAATTGCATCACCTCACCTAATCCGACCACATGTAGGTAGCGGAGAAGCTGTGCGCCTACCGATTGGCCTCTACAGCGTCTGTCCAGTTCCCTCTTGTTTCGGGCTAGCCACCTAACCCAGCCAGCCAGCCAAGCCCAGCCCAGCCAGGCAGAGAGAAAGTAACCCAACCCAAGCACCAAGCACCATCAAGCACCACCAAGCACTTTGACTGTTCCCCTTTTTAGCAACGTCCGCCCTGCGCGTGCGGCTGAACCATTTCGACGGACCGCATTGGCCTTCTTTTCTTCTTCG